CTGGACATCAGTCTCCAAAAGTCCATGACTAGATAATATTTATAAAACTGACATTGGACATCAGTCTCCAAAAGTCAACGAGTAGATGATATTTATAAAACTGAAGCTGGACATCAGTCTCCAAAAGTCCATGACTAGATAATATTTATAAAACTGAAGCTGGACATCAGTCACCAAAAGTCAATGAGTCGATAATATTTATAAAACTGAAGCTGGACATCAGTCTCCAAAAGTCCATGAGTAGATAATATTTATAAAACTGAAGCTGGACATCAGTCACCAAAAGTCAATGAGTCGATAATATTTATAAAACTGAAGCTGGACATCAGTCTCCAAAAGTCAACGAGTAGATGATATATATAAAACTGAAGCTGGACATCAGTCACCAAAAGTCAATGAGTCGATAATATTTATAAAACTGAAACTGGACAACAGTCTCCAAAAGTCAACGAGTAGAAGATATTTATACAACTGAAGCTGCACATCAGTGACCACACAATGTGTAGTGATTGTTGCAAATAAAGCTCAACTGGATCGAGGAGGGCTAATTTAACTTCAAACTATGGATCTGAGCTGAGTAGGGTGTGAGAAAACATGTCTTATACACTACAATTTGCCATTTTTAGTTATGAACGTATTTCCTCCAATATTCCAAACAAGTTTGTACAACTGACATATTTTATGGGTAACAAACTTTTACGAAACTTTTAAAACAGTATATTCCCCCAGAATTAAAAATCGAGGGAACTAATTTTTCATGTATAGTAATTGCATGAGGGGGATTTTGAATTATTATTTTAATTAAACTAACGTACAAAATATATTCTAGTTTTAAGTTAAATTACAATTACAATAATAAAAAACAGCTTATGTAAATATTTTTAAAGATTATAATCAACAACATTAATGGAAATTAAAATAAAGAATATATTTAATTTACAATACAAGAATTAACTGGTGTCATCATCAGGTACAAAACATTGTCGAAACGTTGTACATTTGCTGTTATGTTAAACTTATATTAAAGTTTTTCGTCATTACCCATTCAAGCCGTCTCCAACCATTATTAGTCTCAAAGTGGGTTCCTCGTCATCGAATTTAACTTTACATATGTTATTCTAGACATGTTATTTAAACATTTACAATTAATCATGTTGTTACTCTGACATTTAGAAAATCATGCTTACCCATTCAAATACTTTTGAATAAAACAACCCGAAGTAGGCAAGGTACAACTTGCATTTACATCTGTTCTATTTTCACTTTCAGTTCCCGCAGAAGATACTTGCTTTAAGAATTCTGCCACCTTTTCCCGCAAAGTTGGCATTGATTAAATTAGACGTTGCTATGTTAAATACACAAATCAGAAGTTCTGCTTTTCAACAAGTTGATTTTACCTATTTTATTTATACCAGTTAGGCTAGTTGGTAGTTTCCGTTTAGTAACTGACAATGTAGAGCGTCCAAATTAAAAATAATAAGAACAGCTATATTAACGCCACGTAGCGGTTTTATTTTTCGAAACAAAATAGCTTGAGAAATTTTGGCCGTTAGGGCAATTAAGAACTTAAAAAATGATTTAAAAAAACAATAATTAAAGCAAACTATCATCCACCGAAATATTTTTAAAATCATGCATCACTCTCTTGACAGAAAGACGCCAGATTATCTCTGCTTTATGAAGAAGTGGTCAATATTAGGAAAATAATGTAATATAGGGTTCTTGTGGATGCAGGAATACCATGGGTTTCCTACCTCTTTATTTTAATATAGGAATTTTCCAATGTTTTCGTTAATTTCAGGTATGTGCAGTTTTCGCATGGCATATGGTCAATAAAGTCGTTAAGCTGATTTCGTTATAATAACCCTTGTTCTTTGTCACACTCTAAAAGATAACATGCGGTCTGCTTATGGATGAAGGTTGTAAAGTTGCACCTAATGTCCCCATGGTAGGTCAGGTGATATCTTCGGGTTACAACCTTCCTCATGTTTGAATGGGAATGAGGTGATCAGTCACGTGATAGAGCTAGTTTCTCTGGGTAAATATGATGTTTACTTTTTTTGTGAAATAAACTGACCTGACAATACATCAGAGTAGGTAATGTTGTAGAGTATTCTATCGTTTGGCGAGTTAGTTTGGACTGTTTAGTGAAAATAATGCCAAGTTCAGTCCACGTAACTATAACTAATTGATTTATTTCTTTAATAAAGTTTGCTACAAGATACGTTCACTTTGGCACAAGTTGTAGGCCTAATATACTAATAACGGTTAAAATAAATGTTCTTGATTAATAACAAATGCTAAATTAGTTTACAGAAGCACCAACTTTTATTGAATAACTTCACTTTGCCAGCCTTCTTTCGATCAACAACTAACGGATTCCTGCACTGTATATACTGAATCACTGAACTAACTGATCATTTATTATTCATTACTTGCATTTACATGTACTTGCATGTACCAACCTAGATATTCGTTGAAATTTCTCGATAATTACATCACCACCACAATTATAAGCTTTCTCTAGAAAACATATAAATTAAAGCATTTGAAATGCTGTAACGATGTCCTTTCATCGGGCTGGTTCGTTTAAATTATTTGATGAAAATAAGGCCAAGTACTCTCTACTTAAGGATAAAAAATTAGTTTAGTTCTTCCTTAACGTTTCTACACTTCACTTCTACACTGTTGTAATATGTAAGCCTAAGTTTACAAATGACTTTTCAAGGTAAATAACCCACTAATGGTACTATGACTGACATACAAAAAACTTCCTTGCACGATTTCATGAATAATGGATCAGGTAACTAAAACTGATCCAAATACTTCACTGAATGATTAGCATTCCACCTTTAGAAAACAAAACACACTGACTCAATGCTTCACTTATTCTCTTATTCATAATATGCTCTCATCTCTAGATACTACTCTAATTTACTAGATTGTTAACGTCATATTTAAAACATTTTATAGATTCTGGGCCTATTGTAATGTCACGTGCCCTCTATTTAATATCTAAATTGAAATGTTACAAGTATAGCTTACAATATTGCCCCATTCCTGGATTTTGAAGTCCCTTGAACAGTCCTTATACACAAATATAATACTGTCCATTCACCAAGTCTATTTGATAGTTTCTCTTCTTTGACCCATGATAGGCAAATGACACGACCTCTTGTCCATTTCATCACTTACTTTTTTGTCATTTAGTGTCAATTATTAACGTGTATTGCACTTATTAGAACTCTTGAGTAATCGAGTTTAGTTAAATAGTTATTAATTAATGAATCACACACACACTCTCCTCTTCCTCGGTGGCTCAACAGTAATTCAAAGAGTGTATAATTCTAAAAAATGTGGTTTTATATCCAGGGTTGGTAGAACTCATATAGTTCATTGTGCAACTTTGTGCTTAACAAAAAGAAACAATTGTTGGACTTTCGCTAATACTACAAAGGTCTATGAGTATGATATTTTTACAGCTGCAGACTCAAAAAGATCGTCTGATGTTTGGTGCGCACAAAATGACAGATCTAATATTTTACTTTAGAATCGATCTCAGTTAAAGGGAAGCACGGACGACTGCATGTTACCGAGGTTGAATGTCAGTTGGTGAGTCTGAAACCATATGAGTCAGTGGGTTTAAGACACTCAGGCTGCCAGAGCAACACAACATAAGCTTTGGTTAAGGCCATCTAAGACTGGCGAAGAAGGACTGGAAATGCCATTGTTGGACAAAGTTCACCAGTCAGAGCTGTTTCCCCGTCGGATGAAATAGAGAGCACCAACAAGTGAAGAGCTCGGGTTCGAGCACAGGTGATTAATGAACTGTCAGGAGCAACTAGTTAATCTGCCGTTTTTGGATCAGGAACCAACAACTAACTGGAGGGTTGGAGTCCCCGGGTATGTTGGAGGGTTTTCAGTTATGTTTAACCTGAGAACCTTCAAGGGAGAAGCTTTGGTCACAACTACTGTCCCTTTGAGTGAGACAAAGCATATTTCATCCCCAATATTCAAAGGTGAGCCAAAAGAAGACCTGGACCATTTCTTGAATTGTTTCAGGTAAGTAACTGTCTGTGACAGCTGATCTCAGGAGTAGGCAATCCAATGCCTAATCCCGAGCTTGTATCCCTTACGCATCTAAATGAGACACAACTAGAATGTTGGAATACAATCATGGTCAACTTTTACAGATGGTTTTACCCACTAGAAAATTTAGAGGGATCAATCGACTAGAGTTCTAGGCTCAGAAAAGTCTGAGAGTCTGGCTGTTTATACAAATTATCTGCACCATCTTCACTTAAAAGTCTACCTTTTGATGGCTTCAGCAGATTGCAAAGACACCCTCGTGGATAAATTCATCAAGGAGCTTTCGTGAGAAATGAAGAGGCAAATGACAATAAATTGAACGTGAATGAAGAGATCGATCTGTGGCTGTATCATGGAGATATCGCTCATAGAAGAAAGGTAGTGAAATTCAGAACTATCTGAAAACAAAGACTACAGCTTTTGTGCATGTGACAACATCGGTGCCAGCTGCAAACCCTGCTCAATGCTCCACTGAAAATCATACATTTATAATTTGTAATATATTTTCATTAATGTAAATATATTTGTCACGTGGAATTTAGCTGTAGAAAATTAATTAAAGGGTTGTTACGCCTCTGGTCGTTAGTTAATTTTCCGTATAATATCTCTTCTTGTTTCTTTTGCTGCTCTTGTATTGCTGCCATCAAGTCTGCTAAGCTGTAGTTTGATTTGCTGCTTCTCGTTTTCATTTTTTTTTGTCCCACTCTCTGACACCAATTTGTTACGCCTCCGGTCGTTAGTTAATTTTCCGTATAATTTCTTTCCGAAGAAACTTTAGCGATGTAAGCTCTTTCTTAAATAAAACTGGTTTATTCTTTCTGAATACAACTTTGCAATACACTTAATTTCCACAGTCGCGCTATAATAAAC